TTCAAGTAATTTTGAATTAATTTTTAATGTGTCTCCAATACTCTCAGCACACGGGAGTTCTTTCTAAGCTTTCTTTGATTTGAAAATGTGTATCAATTGACGCCACCTTCTAAATAAAGATTAGGTTTTCTGTGTGCATGTTTTATTAAATTGATCATGACGATGGTTGCTAACAGATAAAGATACCCAGTATAAATTTCATCGGTTTGTTCTTTCCACTGTAGCATGATGTTAAAACTTGACTGCATGTTTGTTCCATTCACAGAGTTACTTTATTAAAAATATGCTTTTTTTTCTTCATGTTTCACTTCATTTATACCCAAGTTTTATAGTTTTGTGCATGGTGTTGACATTTGACTGCATGTTCGTTCTATTCACTGATAGTGTATCAATTAAAAATATGCTTTTTTTTCCCAGTATTTACTTTTTCCTCATGAAAGTTATGAAATAATATTTTTTTTCACATTTTACCAGTGCTAATTAAAATCTAACTGACTTCAGAATAATGAAACTATTTTGTAAACAGTGTTGACAATGGTGATGGAGGCATTATCATCATTATCATCATTATCTTCATGTTTCACTTCATTTATACCCAAGTTTTATAGTTTTGTGCTCTTCACGATAGCATGGTGTTGACATTTGACTGCATGTTCGTTCTATTCACTGATAGTGTATCAATTAAAAATATGCTTTTTTTTCCCAGTATTTACTTTTTCCTCATGAAAGTTATGAAATAATATTTTTTTCACATTTTATCAGTGCTAATTTAAATCTAACTGACTTCAGAATAATGAAACTATTTTGTAAACAGTGTTGACAATGGTGATGGAGGCATTATCATCATTATCATCATTATCTTCATGTTTCACTTCATTATACCCAAGTTTTATAGTTTTGTGCTCTTCACGGTAGCATGGTGTTGACATTTGACTGCATGTTCGTTCTATTCACTGATAGTGTATCAATTAAAAATATGCTTTTTTTTCCCAGTATTTACTTTTTCCTCATGAAAGTTATGAAATAATATTTTTTTCACATTTTACCAGTGCTAATTTAAATCTAACTGACTTCAGAATAATGAAACTATTTTGTAAACAGTGTTGACAATGGTGATGGAGGCATTATCATCAAACCATACTTGTTACAAGTTTTGGTATTCATTCATAGTTTGCCATCAAATACTGGTATGTTTTGCATTGTACATTTATCGCATATCTATAATTCTAAAAACATTCAGTTTGAGAGCATAGTCTGACAATATTTATGTAGGAATCTATGCACCATTTTGTTTTGTAATTATTGAAGCATTAAAAATCTGAAATATGTCTGAAATACTTTTGAATTTGTATTCCAAATGCTAAAAATATATTCTCCATACATTTATAATTTTAATAATTAACACACAAGAGTAAAAACTCTGCTCACATTCCTCAATGCGATGTGTACATGCAAATATTTTTTTTATACAAACTGCTGTGAAAAGAAACTTCAAATGTATTCTTCAGGAGGTAATGACTACTTAAACTGTTAGCTGTTTTTTTTTTCAATTCAAGTTTTGCTAATGTTGTAAATGTGAGTTTCTTACTTTATAGAATGGGCATTAAATGTTGGTTCTTGCATGTATTGTGAAACTATTATGAATCTGTTTTTATGTGATGTGAAACTGCAAGGGTCATTTGAACTGTTTGTTTGTAACCAGAACTATCAGTGGAAAGTTTTTTAATTAACTACCCGGTAGGTCACAAATATTTGCAAATAAATGGTTAAATGGATAATTAACACATCTAATGAGATAAATTCTATATCAGAGTTCTGAAAATATATTTTGTGATCACTCAAAGATTACAATTCTACTTCTACGACATGGTCTCATTTATGATGCAAATTTCCGAAACCAATAGTAGCAACTTCATATCCGCCAATTTTTGTGTTCAAATACGTATTTTTCATTACCCCAATCAGATGCATTTTGAAAAAAAAAATCATTGTTGACTACATTGTACTTATTTTCTGTTTGATTTAACCAACTGGCAGCCATTTTTTCACTGTCTTCTCCCTCGTCTCTGAATTACATTAAATTTGATAGAAAAGCTTGATATAATGGTTTCATGTGCATGCTAATTATTTATTGTTTCAATTAACTGATACCCCAGAACTAAGTTCAGAATTGGCAAGGACACTCAACATGGCTGCCAGTCAACCATTTTAAATCAAATTACTGGTACAATATAAACCAATTTGCATCAGGAACCATTCTGATGTTTAAAGTTTGAATGAAATTGGCACACAGGCTGCCCAAGTAACTGTTGACATGCATTTTTATAACAAAATGATCATTGGTCAGTTAAAGACCAAGAAACAAGTGCACCTATTTTGTTTTAAATGAAGGCTGTTTGAGAGCCATATCTTGGAAGTGTCTTGACCAATTAGGTCAAACGTATGCATTTGTTTTGTGAACAAGTTCAAGATGGCATCCATTTCTGTCAAACTGAAGCCAAATCAGACTTTACACATACATTACAAATGTGAAGTTATTCAACATGGGACACCTGCATACATGCATTTCTATATGAACTTACAATATAAATGGACTGGCACCATGTCATGTCAGAACTTGGTTATATTTGGGGGCACGTAAAAGGTCAATATAATAGACACCTGCTTGTGTACCATGTCTTTCTACCAATCAGTCCAGGCATGTCAGAGAAAAAAAAAAAGGATGTCGGATGGATAAACTGATTGCGTCCATATAGATTCTTCGTTTAGCAACAAATAACATTCCATCAATTATCAGTCAAATTGATACACAAGCAATGTAGGTCTTAAATAAACTTGTTTTAATAGGCTAGTATTTGATAATAAAAAAAATTTACATCTTAATGTTTTAAACCAAATTCCATAATTTCAAGACTTGATCCTTTTTCTACAAACATTTGAAAGTGTGATTTATACTGTGATGGAAGACCTCTACAAACATATCGGCTCATCATCCTCCTCTCTGGTAATGTATTGTGTTTGAAAGTAGTACGACATAACTAAAAATATAACTGGTTGTTTGAAAATTTCAGTTTGTCAAAGTTATTACGTGACAGACCATCATTAAATGACTTATGAAACATAACTTTAATGCAAGCAAGCAATGCTTCATGCTCGAATGTCAAGGTTTATAAAATTTAACCACCATTTTTCAGACTAGTCATACAACAGTGCATCATGAAATGATATTAGGATACCGATATTTCTACATAGTACCTCAACTAAGACTTTGACTCTGATAGAAGAAAAATAAAATAAATAACATTAAAGTCTCAAAAGACAAAACAGACCAAATTTGAGGAGTTCTGATTACATGATTTATATAAACAATACAGTAATAGAAATAGTTGTAATTTATAGAATACTGAACAGCTAAAGGTACAGACATTGTACATAGATGAGGATAAATATCGGGAAAACCGACTGCCATATTTCAGCCTCATTTTCATCAAGTTGCTATAGTACCAATTGTAACTGTACAGTGAATAGAATTCATCAAGACATCAAAAATAAATAATCAGTATTAGTTGCAGCATTTACTTGTGATGCCAGGAGACAATTCCAAAATTAACGCTCAATAATAAGAATAAAAAGTTCACAGAGACATGTCGAAATTAAATACAAATGAAATGCATGATCCATATAACAGCATTAACCTTTTCACCACCAGACTTTCTCACAAATTTGTCTGCACTTTTTTCCTAATATTTCTGGATATGAATCCTAATTTTGAAGCCAGCAGACACAATTTGAGTCTATTTTCTGTTTTTATTTTTGGCTTTTTTTTTGTCCCAATCTGAAGAAAAGTGCAGACTATCAACTGGAATATTTTGTGAATTTGTGATGAAAAAAACAACTGTTGGTGAAAAGATCAAGTCAAAATTTCTTGAGATTCCACATGTTGTTGGTCTTCTGCAAAGTAGGGTTTTACTATTCCATACAATCCAGACCCAACGCCAAAAAACATAATTCCTATACATATATTCGTCATTACAAAGGCGACAGCTTTTGCATAAAGTGTGGCTTTCCTACTTGGCATCATAAAAATACCTACAATTAACAGAGAAAAAGAAGATTTAGTCAACTAATGAGAAGAGTTGTTCACCCCACCTTCAATGAATATGTGGACATTATTATACAACCGAATAGTTGCACTGCAACTGGCATAGCATAACAAATGCAATACCAATAAACGGCAGACACAAAAAATCAGCAAGCAGAAATAGTCTCTCATTTAACACTAAAAAGTATGCAAAAATAACATATCCCTCCTGTCTCGCATTTGCACTCATTTTGTGGCATATTCTGCTATATTAACCTGCCATATTTGTGAATATTTCATTGTGGAGTATGGTGTAGCACACATGCAAAACATGAATATACTTAATGTACAAAAATATGCCTCAGTATTTGAAACACAACTAATATCAGATGAATTGAAATATATGGTAAATGTCACACGACTATGAACAGACAATGAAAACTCAGGGAATGGTTCAGTGTGCGATATACACAAGATGTAGACACATTTATAAATTTAAACAAACATCCCTTCGTACCACACTCTCTTATCTAACATACATACATACAACATGGTAGAGCAAACACAAGACATACAGGTACCAATCCAAACAAAATCACAGACTTTAAATAAATCCTAAATTGTTATGATCGTTGGCTGGTTTTCAGAGTAAGTTGTAACTGGCCAAATACTGTAAGGAATGTTACATTCTTCAATAAAAGTCTCATGCAATACTAGTATACAAAATTTGAATGTGCTACATAACAACCACTTTCAAATACGCTGGTAAAGAAGCTGACCCTGGCAACATGAACATAAAAATCAACTATGTGTAAAACAATCCTAAGAAACTATGTTATATCATAGGCTTTGTCTAATGATTGCTGATTGGGTAATTCCAAGAACTGCACTAGAAATAGTGGACCACAGCTGACGAGGTGTTCAACATGCTGATTGGTTCGTTCTCATACATTAGCTTAAGCTCTACATGTTCCCAGTATTTTTTCATTATTATTCAGATTTGTGTATGTATATATATATTGGATTTACAAGGGTCTCAAAGTAATATCATTGCCCAGTTTGATTTCTAAATATAACCTTATAATTCCACCATCTCCAACATTTACTTGATATCATTTCAACCAATCAAATCTGTATGCTGTGGGATATTTCTCAATGAGATATTCCTAGGAGCATACACATACCTAGGCATAAATTGAGTAGTGTATAGAGAATTGGACATTGCAGAAAATCAAAATTTCTATGCGTAATGCAGACAATAGGATCTGTTTTTAAGAATTGGAAATTACATTTTAATCTGTCTTTATCATAGAGCGTGGTCTGTCTTCTTTCCATGCCTTTTTGATGAAAGCGGCTAAAATGACATGAACTACAACTACTGCTGTTATTCCACCATAGAAAAGGGCATCTTTATTTGACATCGACATAACCCCTGTAAGATTATTAAGAAAGAAGAAAGAAAGTGAAGACAGGGGGAAAAAAATGATACAACATGAATAGAACACTTGAATTTGATTGGATGGAATATAATAAAAGTGGTGCACTCTTTTTACATTTTACACCTGTGTACAACATTTCCTAACAGTCACGCCTTCTACAATAACATGCTTTTGTGACATCAAAATAATGTAAATGGATGAAAAATCTGTGTAAATATCTCATTATGTTTTCATTGAAGTACAATTAAGATAATATCGGCGTAGTGTATACCAGTAGTTTATTTTATCCATCACATACTTCATGAGACATAGATGATGGGTGTGTGACAGTTTTTTCAATTTAATCACAAACATATTAACAAAACATTGAATAAAAAATGGTGCAGTGTCTTTCATTTTTTTGATTATTTTGGCAGAAACCCACCCTCAAGAAAGTTATGAGCAGCCTCTTTTGAACTGTTCCATGTACTGCCCAGAAACAAATTCAATTTTGTTTGTCGTTATTTCCAATTAAATTTTATGGTCAATAGCTGATTGTGGTAGTATTCTCTGATCAGTGTGTCTGTGAATTATTTTTGTACAGATCAATGTAAAAGTGAAAGCTCTAAAAGTGCTCAGATTGTAGTCGATAGTTACCACATACAATAAATTACTGTTCTATATTGAATCTGAATATGTAAAATGGGTATAAAATGAGAAATGACATTTGAACCTGAATCCAAGAAATTACACTAAACAGAATGGAAAGTGGATAGTACATAGTGATCAGAAGAGTAAGATGTGATGTGTAAATGTAAGCACAAGTTTTTGACTTGTGTTCTATGACTAGATAGAGTCTGAAATATTACAGTATAACACTTAGGCCACACTGATTTAATTTTATGGATGACATCCTCTGGAGACCCCAAAACTAATGCGAGAGGGCGAAAAAAAAAAAATCCTGCCAAAAAAAAAAAATCGGAGCTGCTATTACAAATTGGACCACAGAACACAATGTACCAAAAAAACAACAAGAAGTCTTTATTTTTAGGAGGCACATGTTGATATACACATCTCGTACTGTATTACTGTCACAGATATAACCATTTCAGACAAGCTCTAGTACATGTAGTCATGTTGAAGTACCTTCAGTCAAAAACACTGCATGCAAGGTACAACATGGACATCATTTTCAGTACAAGTCAAGGCGGAATGTACATATCACTACTTTATGACAAGAACTAACAAAACATTGCAATGATACAGAAATGTCCTTGCTTGCTCCTCTCTACACAGTATGGGTTAGCTTTAGCCAATCTCTCGTATAGCTGTGTAAACGTCATATCTCCCTGGCCGACGTCAATTGCGTACCAGTCTACAACAATCCCTCAGTTTTTCCTCTGAACTGTTATGCTCACGTATTCCCGGCAACGCAATACGCATGTGCAGAAGATCATTTACGACAAAATTGGCACGTTTTTA